ACGAATTTGCCCCCATTCTCATTAATGCAGTGATGGATTCCTGCTGTTTTACTTTCATCGTCATTTCCTAGGTCCACATCTTCTCTGCTGTCAAGAAGATCCCATCCACAGAAGGTAAGGCCAAGGCCTACTCCACCTGCCTTCCCCACCTGCTGGTTGTGGTGCTGTTCTCTCCACTGGATGCTTTGCTTATCTGTAGCCAACCTCAGGGACTCCTTCCATGTCTGACCTGGTCATTTCTATGTTCTACACGGTGGTGCCCCCCACCTTTAATCCCATCATATACAGTCTGAGGAACCAAGCCATGAAGTCGACTGTGGGGAGACTGATGAAGGGGAGACTCACCTAAACATAATAGAGAAGATGACTTCATGACTCCATTACGAGACACATATTTTTGATAATTGAATCATACTCCTCCTCATATTTTAATTATTACATATAATTCCATTGCACAATTTAAAAATATATGCTCATTTTTAAATTATATATATGATGACTTCATATAGTCTGCAGCTTGTAGACTCTATTGGTATTGATTGTTCCTCTGATACACTTAGGTGCTTTTTTATATTCTCTGTACAATGGAGGTCACTGAACTTCCAGACACTCTTTGCTGGTCTCCATTTCTTTGCTCCCGGCCAAGAGAGGCAATGGTTGGGTTTCATCACAGTCGTGAGCAAAACGGGGGCAGCATCTCCAGTCTCTAAGGCAGCTTCCCCTTTAATGTTTTCTTGATCACGGGTGGAATCAGGGTATATGGGCAGGACAGAGGCCCCTTTACTTAGTAGGTGGGGCCTTCACAGCATAAATAAGGCCTGAGGATCTGAAGTGAGAATTGACCAAGGTCAATAAGGACACACACGTGACGTGGTGGAGACAACCTGGAAGCTCTGTTGTGGGAGCCACCCGCATTTGCCAAAATCACACTCACCCACGGTGGACACCAGAAATAAGAAAGTTAGGATCATGTACAGTACATTTACAAAAAAAATTCCAAAATGCACTGGATAGGAATTTTTGAGATACAATAAGAGAACTTAACAAGTTATGATGATCAAAACAAAATGATAGCTAATTGCCTGCCTCGTATCTAGTATTTTCAGAAATGTGTTAGGGATGCCATCCATGACCTCACACCACACTTTAGAGGAGTGTTGTCCCATTTATTTCATCCCCTAGAGTGGGAGGGATGGCAGGACAATGCCCTACCCAGGCAGGTCATCAAGAGGAATCGTACCTAGAATGTCTGCATTTTTCACAAGCACGTTGAAATGAAAAACCTCATCAGATTTACGTGCAATGAAATGATACTATCATTTAGTATACTTGTAAAGACATGCAAGGAATTGAAGGAGATTTCAATTTGGGAAGTGTAATGCCCCCATGATTGTCACTTGCTGTCTGGCCTCAGCTCCTCTCTGCTGACTGCATCCCATTTGCTTTCCCGTCTGTGACGGCCAATATTGGAAAATTTCACACCAAAATATTTCATGATAAAAATGTAGTTCCAACTGGATATCAGTCATTTAAGTCGTTATCAAATAGTTCGCCTTGCGAGGAGGCTCTTCAGGCTGAAATCTGGGATGACAACTTGATACTGTTCTTTTAAGTTCTTTTAAGTAATTGGTATTTTTAACTTTTCTCTGATAAATTTATTTCTTAATATCAATTCTTGATACTGTTATAGTTCACTGGTGGGATATAATGAGAATTTAATATGTGTTTAAGAACCTGAATCAGAGAATTATACACATTCATGAGACTATTGTTTGCCAACTTTGAATAATATTATTAAAATATTTAAGTAATAAACATTAAATGTCTCAATGTTCTATGAATTTAAAAATGTAAGCACAATGAAAATTGTTGTGAGGCCTCCCCGGTGGCTCAGTGGTTGAGCACTGGGTTGCGAAGCTGCCCGCAGCCTCTGCAGCACCGGTTCAATCCCCGGCAGCTGGGCGAGGGTCCCACATGGCATGCAGACCTCTCCTGCGGCCCACTGCTCCCCTCAGCAGTGTACTTTGTCGCTCTGCCTGTTCTACTCTCTGCTCTGGTGAATTCTCTCACCCTCCCGTGCTTCTGACTGTACCCAGTGCTTGTATAAATAAATTAATCTTTAAAAAAAAAGAAAATTGTTGTGGACAACAAGGTAATAAACATTGAGAACTCTAAAGATTCCACTGAAAAAACAAATTAAATAAGCCACTTCAGTATACTTCAAAAGTACAAAATCAACACATAAATATCAATTGCCTTCTTATGTGCAAAAAAATGAATCAGAAGAGAAGAATTTGAGAAGGCAATCTTACATATAATCACAAAATTACCTGGGAGTAACCCTAAAAGAGAAAGTGAAGATACCCAGAAAATTGTAAGACATTCTTAAAATAAATAGGAAACACACACAAAAAAATGGAAAGATATGCCCTCCTCATGGACAGGAAGAATCAGGATTACAAAATATCCATCGGACTCAAAGGAATTTACAGATTCATGCAATCCAAATGAAAATTTTAATGGCATTCTCAGATATATGAAACAAACATTACAGAAAAGCATATGGAACTACGAAAGACCACAAATAGCCAAAAAAGTCTTGATGAAAATGAATAAGAAAGGAGGAAGCACACTTTCAGACTTAAGACTGTATAATAAAGCTCTAATAGTTAAAACAGCATGGTTCTGGGACAAAAACAGATAGGCCAGCCATTGGAATATAATGAGGGCCCAGGAACCCTCCCTCGTCAGGATGGGCAGTGACTCTACGACAGAGGAGCCAGAGCATTCACTGGAGCAGGGAAAGTGGGGAAATGGTGCTGGGAAAAGCAGACAGACACATGCAGCAGAGTGAAGCAGGTCACTGCCCCATACCCTACAGAAGAGTAAACTCAAACAGATAAACACCTGTTTCCATGTGTGACGTCACCATCGTCATGCAGCAAACCTAAGTATATGACACCATGAGCAGAAACCTACCATTTCCTACAAGATTAGAAGCAAATTATCCAAACAAAAGGACAATTCTAATGTAAGTGCAGTGACAGGTGCTGGGGTGGAAAAGAACTGCAGGATACACAATTTCAGAGACGAGTGAAGTTTCTCTTCCCGAAGGGCTGGTGACCCCCGTGGTCACTCACTTCTGCTGGACATCCATTGTCTTTCCTCCCCACTCCCCCTCCCTTGGCTCCCTCCTGCCTCTCTCCATTTCGGTTCCCTCCCATCTCAGGCCTTTCCACATCCCCCCTCACATCCATCTCCAGGGCCTCTCTGTGAAGGGCACACGGTGGGTGACAGGGGACTCTCCAGCTGTCTAGATAGGGACTCAGGGCACTGTTATGACTGATGGTGCTGACCCCAGTGGACACGACAGTTGGGGAATGGAACCTGGAAATGCAGATTTGTCTATTCACTTCCATAGAGTCGTGAGCCAGACACAAAATCACATCTACACACCGAGTGTGATAATTACTCCCTGAGAAGCACTGCAGGATGCTCCAATTATCACAGCCAAGTAAACACACACTTTCCCTCTGGAGGAAGGTCCCTGAGGGCTGGAATCTGGACAGTGCCCAACACATGGACACCAGCTCCAGAGCTCAAATAGCCCAGCCCTGAGGCCCTGCTCTGTCCATGAGGTGGCAGCTAGACAGGGTGCAACATCCTGTGCGTGCTCAGAGGCATCCCCACGAGCCCCAACCATGGTGTAAGAGGCCTGGACACCCTCTGTCCATGCCATGGGGACAACCTCAGTATAGAGACTCAACACGGCAGCAAGAACTTCCCCGCCCCAGATTGCAGGTATTCTGTTCTTAAACAGTTTTCGGAATGGAAATCATTCAGACTTGACTGTTTTTAGATTACAAGCTTCATTTTAGATCTGAGAAGGCAGTGTAAATAAAATATTTGTTTTATAAATCATGAAAACTATTAAATTCTGAAAGTGCACAAGTTTCTCAGTGCCCCACTGCCGTATCATGCTGGATGAGTCTCAACAAGAGGAAATATACTCTCCTTTAATTTAAAGAGTTCAAAGGATTGAACAGAACATTGTAATGCATCAGATATGTGATGATTAATGCTTCATAACTGGCATTTGAGCATTCAGCACACTGAGTCGTTTTGGGCACTATATAAAAGCACAACAATTAATGGAATTACAATGTGATGAAAAAATTCCAGGGGAAAGTTAATATAATATTTATTTTAAAAATCAGAATGTTATACCTTTTGCCTACACATTATGACAGACCTAAGTGTCAAATATAAATTATATCATGTCTACGCAACATTGTTCACCGTTTCAGGCTCTGGCACTAGAGAGAAGATAGGTGTGGACTCCTATCTCTTCACTGACATGGACTCTGGGTTTTTTCCAACTCCACCACTCTGGGGTCATGGCCTTCTTGCACCCACTGCTCTTCTCTTTGATTTACATGTACGCCCTTCTGGGGAACGGGCTCATCATCCTCATCACGACCCTGGACCAGCACCTCCACACCCCCATGTACTTCTTCCTGAGGAATCTGTCCTTCTTGGACCTCTGCTTCATCTCAGCCACAGTCCCCAAGTCCCCAAGGCCACAGTTGCCAACTCTCTGAGGCACAGCAGCTCCATCTCCTTCCCGGGCTGTGTCGTCCAGGTCTTTTTGATAGTATTTTCAGTAGGAGCAGAGCTGACCCTGCTCACGGTGATGAGCCTTGACCGCTATGCTGCCATCTGCCAACTCCTGCACTATGAGGTCATCATGAGCAGGGTCAGGTGTGTGCAGCTGACAGCTGTGTCCTGGCTGGGTGGGGGTCTCATCAGTTTGATGAACACAGCTGGAACTTTCTCCTTGTCCTTCTGTGGGTCCAACATGGTCCACCAGTTCTTCTGTGATGTCCCCCAACTACTGGCTATTTCTTGCTCAGGAAATTTAATGAGTGAACTTGTCCCCATTCTCATTAGTGTAGTGTTGAGTATCTGCTATTTCATTTTCATCGTCATTTCCTATGCCCACATCTTCTCTGCTGTCAGGAAGATCCCATCCACAGAAGGTAAGGCGAAAGTCTACTCCACGTGCCTGCCCCACCTGCTGGTTGTGATGTTATTTCTCTGTACTGGATTCTTTGCTTATCTGAAGCCGATTTCAGACACTCCATCCATGTCTGACCTGGTCATTTCTATGTTTTACACGATGTTGCCCCCCACCTTTAATCCCATCATATACAGTCTGAGGAATAAAGCCTTGAAGACGGCTGTGGGAAGAGTGATAAAAGGCCAATTCTCCAACAAATAAGGTATCATCAATTATTCACCCACATTTATTCAGTTTCCCACTAACTCTACGTTCATCATTCACAAAGTAAAGATGCTTCCCATTAGTATTTTTCTTTTGTCGCAAATTCATATTCTCATATTGTCAATGTGCTCCTGTTTCCTAAATAATGCAATCCTTTGCCAAACCTCTCCCTGTGTGATGTTCATAAACTGAATCCAGCTCACAGTTAAAAACATGTATTTGGTGTAGAAAGAATGTTCTAGAACTCACACATCACCAACATTTATGAAACCAAGCCATGGTAAAGGGGTTCTGTCCTCGGGAGCACATGGTCATGGGACCCCAGTTCAGGCAATCAGTTCCCACAGCCTGTGTGTGTCTCCCCTGAGGGCCCCGTCCCTGTGGAGGGGAGGGGAGACAGCTGAGCGGGGTCCTCCACTCCTCACCATTCTTACAGGAGCGTCTTCCTTTAAGACACATTCATGTTTCTGTTCAAAAGGACAAGGAATCTCCTCCTGAATCTGCCAGAGATGGGCGGATGGAGGATATTTAAGGAATTTGAATTGACACTTGAAGCCTGTGGCTGACGGGAGTGTTCATTTCCATCACGTCCTGTTTGGATTCAGAGTCTCTCCACTGCCTGGCTGGAGTATTTGAAAATAAAATAGCTCTTAGGAAAACGCATGGCTGTGAAGAGCCACGTTTCTGGTTTTCACATTTATGACTTTGGAGCCGTGGGCTGCTCTCAGGGTCCTTGTCAGCTCCCCTCAGTTTCCAGGTCACCCCTCAATGTGCGGCGGCAGGTCTGCTTCCCCACTTTCTGCAGAAAACTCTCGCAGTCACTGTCCGTCTGCGCTGGGAACTGTGTCATTCCTTGTTTCAACATCCACGGCATTTGCGCTGCATGGCCGAGGTTCTCGTAGCCTTTCCAACCCTGAGAACTGAGCTGGGTGATGTTCTGCCCCTCATGCCCTTTCTCCGGGGGGCAGGTCACTGTGTCCCACACTCTCCCAGTGGCTCTACCGTCATCAGTCCAGGAAAGCAGCGTCGAAATGAAAAGGCACGTTGGCCACGAGCTCGAGTCCACTCCAGGTTCCCGATCACATGGCTCGGGAGTCGCTCACTCAAGATCCATCCCAGTGTGGCCTGAGCAGCTGCTCAGTGCTCACCAGGATCACCACCCGCAAGCAGGGACGGGGCCACGGTCTCCACTGCCTGGACGTCACGCCCTTCCCCAGTCGGATCCTACCCGTATGTTTTCTATTTGCCCTTTGAACCAATGCACCGAGTGTGTTGGGAAGGGGACTTTTCCCACAGGCTTCATTGTGCCGTCACCTTCATGCAGTGTTTGTTCTCCAGCAAAGAAATCAGCTCCTTTGCGCTTTTCACTATTTTTACGTGGGGTCCCATTCAACTCCTGGGCCTGTGCGCGTGTCCACTCAGCATCCGCTGACCACCTGCCCCTGCAGTGCCTGACCCCTCCTTCCAAGTCCCTCCCTACTCTCCTCCTCCTTTTGCACATGGTCCACGTTTCTTTTTGCTGTGTTTGTAATGCAGGTTTTCTGTATTTTCTATTCCCAGATGAGGGAGACTCTCCACGCTCCTTCTCTCACTATCTGCTCATCTCCTTTAACAAAGTCACCTCAAGGTCCATCCATGTGGTCCCAAAATACATGATTTCACCTTTTTAAAAGCTGTGTATTTCCCACTGCATATGTATCCACATTATTTATTCCCTCTCTGTCCACGTCACTTGGGTTGGGGCCATGGCCAGCTACGGAGGACGGTGCTGCTCTGAACACAGGTGTATGTGCTCTGCGTCATAGAGTCTGCACATCTGAGACAAATACCCGGATGAGGTTTGCTCCATCCTGTGGTTGTCCTGTTGCTATTGTCTGAAAACACCTCCACACCATTTTCCCAGCAGGGATGAGAGGCCTTTTCTCTCCTTCCTCACTCTTGTTGTGCCCAGTCTCTTGATTGTTCCCTTCTCACAGGTGACAACTCAGTGTGGCTTGGATCTGTGTTGCCCCTAGAATTACTTATGTAGAGCATTTTTATGGATTAAAGTCTGGGTAAGATACAAAACCATAAGACACGAAAGAGAACACAGGGGAAGCTGGACACCCCCCAACACACACAGGTGGACTTGGGGACACAAGGCCTAGGACAGAGAAACGGCAAAAATAAACAAGGGGCCTCACCACACTAGTGAGCTCCTGTGCCTCAGAAGATGCCATCGCAAAACAGACTCCTGCACTGGGAGAAAATTGTGCACGTCACACACCTGGCAAGGGCGAATGTCCAAAATACACAAAACCTCACAAATGCAACAACAGAAAGAGACACCCCAACCCAACACAGCCTCAGGCCCCCAGAGACACTTTCCTCACAGGTCAGGAGGCCACGGCCTCTCACGCTTTTTATTTGGGTAGAAACAGTCCCCTCTCCTGAGCCTGTCCACCTGCCTCACACCTGCAGCCATTTGAACATCCCTGACAGAGTCACAGGTGCTGCAGAAGGAAGTGGGTGTCGTCTCCCCGGTGGTCTCCACGTCAAGAGCATCCGGGTCACAGTGCCCAGAGGCAGGATCCCCCAGGGGCGGGCATGTGTCCACCATGAGGCCAAGCCGGGGGACATGCGGGCACGCTGGTGAGCGGAAGGGGTGTGGCCTCTGTCCCCCGAAACAACCCCCACAGGGATCACCGGACTGGGAGAAGCGCCAGGCACCCTCCCACCTGCTGCCTTGGCAGTTCCTGCTGGGCAGCGCGTGCCTCTCACCCTGGCCTCGGCCAGCCCCGGGCTCCTAGCGGACACCCTTGAACCCCAGCCCGCACTGCCCTTGGGGCCTCATCCGCCTCGCAGAGCCCTTGGGCACAAATGTCCACATTTCAGCCGAAGGTGAACACGCATCTGGGAGGTTCCGGGACTTGTCCTGTGTGTCCTCCAGTCCGCGGGCCCAACCGGGACCGCACAAGATGGGGTCACTCCCGTCAGGGGAGGAAATGGACTTTGGTCACTTCGTGTCCCTCCCGCCCGGCCTCCCAGTGCGCGCAGCTACCCCAGGCCCTGCCAGCTTTGCCTGACCACTGTCCAGTTGGCTTCCACGTCAGAGAGCGATTCCCGCTGGCCCCTCACCTGGAGGAGGCTCCACATACCCTGCGTGCCTCAGCGGCTGCGCACGGGTCCCCCAGCTGCTGCCCCGGACTCGCGCACCCGAGGCAGAGCTGAAGCTACCCCGGCTCCTGGCTGCCTGTACTCTTTGCACCCCAGGGGACCCCAGCCCGGCCATGTGCACCCCGCACACCCGGGCAGGATTGTCCACAAGAAGGCGACGTCCAGGCGAAGTCAGCAGCAAGTCAGACTCTCAGGCACTAGAGCAGTTAAACGAGTCGCTTTGTAAATCATGACAACTAATGTTGACGGGGCCTAAGTCATCATGTCCCACTGCCCTGTCAGCCTGGGTGAGACTCAGGGAGAGAAAACATATTCTCTGGTAATTTATGATGGTCAAACACATTGACTTTTAATACATTGAGCATATTAGAAGATTGTGACTTCTGGGAGATGTGACGATTTCTGCTGCATACCTGGGATTAGCATCAGCACACTCAGTGTGTTCTGGGCGCTGAATAAAATCACAGCAATTAATAGAATTGGATGGTGATGAAGACATTCCAGAGGGAATTAAAAATTATACTTACTGTTCGATTCAGAATGATATGCCTTTTCTCTTAAACATGATGACAGATATGAGTTATGTAGAAATTCAGTAACTTGTCAGCGACACTGTTGACATCTTAATGGCTCTGGCACTAACATGATGGTGGCGCCAACATCTGTGTATTTGTGGACGTGAACTTGGGATTTTTCCCCAACTCCACACCCAGGGATTGTCAGTGTAATTGGAAAATGAGTCACAGTATTTAATCAGGGCCTGGAGGAGATATGTCAAGTTATTTTATCCATTTTAAAGATGTATTTAAGGTCACTCGACAGATGTCAACATTTTTTCCACCCACGTACTCTGATTTATTTTCTTGTTTTTACTAAATTTCTGGAATTATTTCCACCAATGTGTTGCAATTATTTTATATTACTATATTCTCCTAAAAATCCTACCCTCCCTAGGCGCTCTCCCTCCGTCATCCCGCAGAGGGGGCAGAGGATGAGATTGGGGGGAGGAGAGAGGGCTGGGCTGCCTCGTGTCCAGACGTCCCCACGCACACACAGGCCTGGGGTGAGGAACAAACCTGCACCCGGGGGACCCGGGTCCCTGGGACCGGCAAGGACAGCCACATGCACAGACCATCTGGCTCAGCTCCGGAGCGGCCTCCTCCCTGCACAGATGTGCATGAGTCTGAGGGGGACAGAGGGGCCGGGGAGTGACCCGGGGGTGGACGAGCCCATCCTGCAGGAGGGACATGTGGGTGTGACCCAGGAGGAGACTCTGCGGGAAACGTGGTCTCTGGGTCCTCAGATGTGGGGGAGTCAGGTGCAGGGAGATGAGGAGACAAGGAGACAGGACTAGGAGTCAGCAGTGAGGCCACAGGGGCAGGAATTTGGCAGAGGAAGCATCAGGACATGCCGCATGGGGACGCTGAGCCCAGATCATTCAGTTCCAGGTCAGTGTCGGGTACTGGGAAGCAGGAAAACAGGGACACGCACACCCCATCTCCCTGCACACCTGTCACTGTGGGGCCTCCCCAAAACAGGGCTGAGCTGGAGGAGCAGGGACAGGTTCTCTAGGGTGGGGAGGGGCTGGGCATGGTCACGTGTCCTCTGGGACTGTGCCCTGGACAACCTCTGGGAGGTGTGCTAGGTGGAGACGCTGGGGCCCCCGGCAAGAGCAGGAGCAGCGGGACTGGGGCGAGTGTGTAGTGTGGGAGCTTTGCTGAGATTTTTGACAGATAAGAGATTCTAATTTGTTCAAGTTTTGTAGGGGACAGTTAAAAATTGAGTCTCTCACCAATCTGGCGGACATGTTTGGACAATATAATAATGGCACATTCATAAGAAGGAAATAAATGGGTTGAATAAAACCGTATACACAGATAATGATATTAGAATCCACAGAACCTAGAAGTATTAAGTATAAAGAAAATACATTGAATTATTGACTTATATTGATACCCTTTATATTTTTTAGTATTGGAAGATTGAGGCTTTTCCCACTTTCTTCTTTTACACAGATGATGTCTCCAGGGGTGACCAATCTCACAGCCGTGACAGAATTCTTCCTCCTGGGGTTCCCCACCCAGGGGACCATGGGCTTCTTGCAACCGCTGCTCTTCTCCCTGGTCTACCTGTGTGGCCTGCTGGGGAACGGGCTCATCTGCGTCATCACGACCCTGGACCGGCACCTCCACACCCCCATGTACTTCTTCCTGAGGAGTCTGTCCTTCACGGACCTCTGCCTCATCTCAGCCACAGTCCCCAAGTCCATTGCCAACTCTCTTAGGCACAGCAGCTTATCTCATTCCCGGGCTGTCTCCTCCAGGTCTTCATGGTGGTTATATCAGCAGGTGCAGAGATGAGCCTCCTCACGTTGATGAGTC